TGCCTTAATTGCTTTTGATTAATGTATAATTGTCATGATGTTGCCAACTAGGATGTTCATATTTTATTATACTTGCACTATTTAATATTGAGTATTGAAATATATATTTTGGGCCTTAGCGTGTGTGATATCTTTTTTAGTTAAGATATTTGTGTAAGGTTAAAATACTTGTGTAAGTAAGAAGTGAGTATATTTGTGAATGATGGCAATTTAGATATGGAATTACATGTTTTAGCTCCCCTTTATGTTTTTTTATCAAGGGATTGAGTGGTGAAAATGTGATATAGCTGTTGTTTAAATGTTGTGGTGCATTGCACGAGTTCGTTATAGTCTATTGAGTGTGATCTAAAGGTTGGTGTGGGCTTTGGCACTTGAATTGAGTTTTGAATACCTTAGTTATGTTTTGAAAGCATAAAAGAGTGAGTTTGCTTTTTGGTATCCAACATTTGATTGAGAAATAATTTGAATGTGACTAGTGCCATTAATTAAAGCTTAAAGAAAGCTTTCTAACAATACCTAGATCACCTCAATTGGAAGTTGGATAGAGATTTAGTGCGCGTCAAAATTCATCCAAGAAATCTGCCATTACTATCATGGGTTTTACAGTTTATGCCACAGCATAAAATTTTATGCTACAGTATAATTGTGCTAGAATCAATTTTTTTTACTATTTTGATCTTAATTTAATGTTATCTTACTTTGTATGATGCCCATGCTTTCGTACATATGTTTTTCTTTGATTTTAGTTTTCTTTAAATGATTTTATAGTATTTTAAGTTTTGAAAACTTGAGATCCCATTCATATAAATTTTACAAACTTAGTAATTCATGTGGGTTATTCCGATAATTACCTTGAATTTTGGAGTTAATAGTGGATTAATAAGGTAGTTCATACATGCAAGGCTTCTGGCTTGGATGTAAGGTTATGTGTTGTGTTATGACAACATTGATTTGCATGAAAATCTTAAATTTTTTCATGTAAATTTGGTCTTGGGTGCAAGGCTTTTGGCATAGGGTGCAAGACTTTTAGCTTGGTGCAAGGCTTCTGGCTTATGGTGTAATGGGACTGGCTTGGTTGCAAAGGATTTGGCTTTATTAATTTACATGTAATTTTCATGTAATTCTTGGGCACACATAGGGGCATCCTTTTTATGTGATTTGATTTACATGTAATTCACTAAGGATTACATATAAAATTAGTTATCAATCTTGCTCACAACTTTCTCCACTTATTAATTTACATGTAAACCATATATGTTTTCATGTAATTCTTGGACATTTACAAGGGCATCCTCTTTGTATGATTTGATTTACATGTAATCTATCGAGGATTACATGTAAAATTGGCTATCAATCATGCTTATGACTTTCTGTACTTATTGATTTACATGTAAACCATATTTGTATTATTTATAACAAAGAAAAGTATGAACTTTAACTACATCAGAGAATCAACCATGAATTTGCAACATAATATAGGTCAAGACTATAACCTTTAATGGTAGAAGACTCAAAAGAATGGTTTAATAAAAAGGCAAGCAAAACACATGGTTAATAATAAGTCTTGCAACTACTTTGTGCCTTTGTGGTTTGCTACTTTATCTATTCAAAACAAATGTTTGAGAGCTGGCATCTAAAAACAAAATAATTTGTCTTAAATGTTTGATTACCCATTATTGTTTCTAGAAATTTCTGTCCACTATTCACAGTGATTTCAAAAATTAAGTGTTAGAATTTTATCCCTTCATCAATTTTTCTACTAAACCTTTACAAAACATGAATGAAGAGATATCGCATGCAGTGCTTAGATAATAGTCTAGTTTATTATGAACCACAAGTCCACAATATGTGCTACATCCATATCGTGAAGAACTTCCTTCACCCTAGAATTCTTTCCTCAACATGTGCAAAAGGTGATGCAAAGAATTGCACCATATGGTTTATAACTAAAATGTACAATAATCTTCACAACCTTAAGCTTATCAACCATTCAGCTTTAAAACATATTAACAGCATAATATGAAATAAAACAGAATTAAAGTAGCTCTGGAAAGTTGTATTGCTTTCATGGTAATGAAGTAAATCAATAAAAATAATACTTGAAGTTTTAAACTCTACTAACAACTTAGGAAACCATGAATGACTAAAATGAACAGACTTAAAGAGCAATGATCTCAAGCATTAGTGACATCAAATGAACAAAAATATGGTCTTCTACTTATCTACACAAGATTAAATATTCAACAAAAGAACACATAAATGTTAGGAAACCATGGATATAGCTTCCTTCAAGATCAAAACTTGCATGTTTGAACTATTCATTCTCTGGTCTTAGAAAGATTCTATATCACAAGCATCAATCTCTGTATAACAAGGTTAGTGTTCATCCCTTCTTTTGCTCTTTTTTTCTTGTTACAATATTTACACTAACAAATGATACAAATAACAAATCTATATCATACCAATATTGGCACAAAAAATGAAGTTGTTCAATTTCTGACTTATTCTTTTCAATGATTTTGTAGAATTTATAGGCTAGATAAGCATAGCCAAAAATCATCCTGACAACACAGAAAAATATATTATTTTTTGAATATTACAAATTGAACCTCTAGCATTATGAAAGATGATAGGCTAGGATGGTATAAAATATACACAAGTACCCTATTAAGAAAGGATCCTGTCATTTTATGTTCCTGATATAAAGAAAAGGAAAAATGTTAAGCAAAATTATAATAATATGATTATTAAACTTCATGTAGAGCAATTTTAAAAATTTAATGAAGGAAGAACATAAAATCAAAAACACACAAGCTCAGGGGATACTTCAATATTGTAAATAAGAAAACTTCATTATGCAATGATTATCAGCGATGAAGCATAGAATAGTAAATAAGAGAAATCTTAAAGTCTCTCCTACTAACACAGGTAGTAAGTGAATCCAACTAAGCCCTATGGTGAATAACCTTTAAATTGCAAAGATGTTGATATCCTATTATTCTTCATGATTTATATTTGACTTTCTTTTTATACCTTCTACAGCAAACAACCACAGATTTTTTAAAAGACAAGAAAAAAGAAATAAACAAATAGAACAAGAAATTAGTTTAGATATTCTGGAGGAGGGAATCTGAATATTCAAAATGTGATTCCTGGCAATGTAAATAGCAAATTTAGACCTTCAAGGGTGACGACAATGATGAGCTTCTCCGGTAAGGTGTTGATGGCGATAGGCTTTTCCAACAAGGTCTACGGCTAGTGCAGTGATGGGTTTGCAGTTGTAGATAGAAGACATCATTGATAGAGGCGGGGAGGAGAGAGTGGAGTGAGAGAGCTGAAACCACTAAAGCATTTTAGTCATTTGAATAGATTACTTTATGAATAAAATATTAGACCTAATCCTTAAATTTGACTTGATTCTTGAGAACATTTTAATATTTCAATGAGGTCTTTATCACTAATTTTCTCATTAACAAATATCTTGTCCACACGTCATATTAAGTATGTGTTTGAATAGCAAAAATAATTGATTTTTGGCTCAAAAAATTTATTCTCCCTAAAATTATCCAGACATGTAAATTTAATTTGTTTAGTTTTAATTACATTTATCAAAATAAAAAGTTATAAAAATAGAAAAAATATAATCAATTTGTTTTTAATCTAACTAGTACAAATTTAATCTTAAAAGTCTAATTTAATATTAAAATTTTTATAATTTGACTATTTAGATGTATTTTAAATAATTCAAATATAATTTGAATGACTCAATTTAATAATAAAATTTTTATAATTTTTACAAATTATTTAGATTTACTCCAGGCAGTTCAAATTTTTTTTAATGATTTTTATATTAGTAAATAAAATCTTTAAAATCTTTAAAAAAGTTAATCTAAACTAAATGGTAGAAATCATTTTAAAGTGAAATGAAAGGCAGCAATTTGGCCACGTATGTTGAGCACTCACCACACCGAATGCAAACGCATGTTGCTTCTAATTCTGAGACCAAGGGGAAGCTTCACATGCGTTTTGTCGATCACTTGCTTCCACGTTTTGAGTTTTGACCACCCAACACAGTCTGGTTCCCTAAACACTGTTTGTAAGTGGTTACTAATGAGCTATGATAGAACAATATTAGTGAGAAAAGGACTTCCAAGGGACGCAAATTGAATGATGGAAAAATACGAACTTGAGTTAGACAAAAATAAAAATAAAAACGGTTTCCAACATGTACTATGATGATATAAGGGAGAATTGCATTACAGTGCTCCAAAACCAACATACTTGTAATAAAAACCTAATAGAATCTAAAATAATAGTTCTGCAACCCAAGATATCCCTCTTACAAATAAGTTTTTTTGGTTAAAAGATGAAATTGCCTCTCTTGAAATAATGGACCTTTTGTTGAAAATAAACAGACCTTGATTGTTATTTATAAATTTTTTATTGTCAATTTCATCTAGATAATTTGTAAAAAAAAATTTTAAACAAGTATAAACCACATGAATTATGTAAAATAAACAGACGTTTATCATTAATAAATGAATTTTAAATATTATTTATGAATGTTTTGTTTGAGTACTTCACAAAAAGGCAATCCCATCTTTTCATCAGAAAAATTTAATCACAAGAGAAGCATTTAGGCCTATAGAATTATTTTGGAAATTATTGAGTCTTTAATGCAAAAATGATAGTTTTGGGTCCTGCTATGCAATTCTCCCATGATATAATGACTTGTTTTTGGCCAAAAAAACGCGTAATGATATTGAAAGTGTACTTAAATGATGTATAAATAAGAACATTTATTTCATATTTTGCTATTCTACATACATACGCAATCAAAAGAAGGGTTGATATTAAGTGAACAAAAAGATTAAATTAAATGTGAATAAAGACCGAAAATTTAGAAATAACTATTCCAACTAACTTGTCCAAGAGGTTAGGTTTCTAAATCGCCACTATAAATAATTTGTACATCTGCAAAGACATGTCATCGTCCACAACATCTATAAACTAGCTAGAACTCATATATCTCTGCTTCAGTGCTTCTTTAATGGAGTCCAGAACTGCCCAGCAATTTTTCAAGGGAAAGACCATCTTAGTCACTGGGGCAACAGGCTTCTTGGCAAAGGGTCAGTGTACACACACCCCCAGATTTCATCTTAAGGTTATTGTGTTAATTAAATGTTTGCTATATGCAGTGTTTGTGGAGAAGTTACTAAGGATTCAACCGGATTTGAAGAAATTGTATCTTCTTCTACGAGCTTCCAGCAACCAAGCAGCCACACGACGTTTGCACGATGAGGTTCCTGAATTATTATTATTTTAGAAAGACAAGTTTAACTTCACATTTATAAAAATTACATATTTGATGAACCTATATAAAATTAAAATTGTTTGCATGTACTTACATGCTTACGTGGATGGGTATTAGATCCTTAGCAAAGAGTTGTTCAAGGTTGTACGTGAAAAATGGGGTGCAGATTTTGACACGTTGATATCAGAGAAGATAGTTGCAGTTGCAGGAGACGTTTCTCTTGTGAACTTGGGACTAAAAGATGCAGATCTTCATGATCAACGCCAAGTTTTCAAACAAAATATTGACGTTATTGTTAACCTAGCCGCCACTACTGATTTTGATCAACGGTAACCACCATACATGCACGCACGCACGCACGCACAGTTTTTTTTTTTTTGGGACCAGCCATACACACATATATAATATTCAATATTATTTCTATATATATATATATATATATATGAAGAAAAAGAGTTATGTTATTCATAAATTATGAACAGTACAACTCACTTGCGTGAACGAATGCTCACTTATATTTTCTCTCTTCTAAAATTGCTGTTCATGCAGATTTGACATTGCAATGGGTGTCAATGTAATGGGTGCTCTACATGTGTTAAACTTTGCAAAGACTTGTCTTAATTTAAAGGTTCTTCTCCATGTATCAACAGGTAAGCATGATCACACACACACTCTCTCTCTCTCTTCAAAAATATAAGATAAAATGTTAAAAAAATATAAAGCATTTTTTGTTGTTCAATGTATAATTAGTGAGTTTTTTTCTCAATAATACCCTTAATAAATAAACTAATCAATTAGTCATCTTTAGGTAAGACAGTACACTTTATTAAGTAAGAGAAAATATAAAAAAAATGGTATAAATTTGGAGATAATTGACTAACTTATTAGGAGTGTAATTTAATTAAAAAAGCTTGTACTTCTCATTGAGGGAGTATAAATTATAAGATAATATAAGCAATACATCTATATAAGACACATCACATCACAATAACTAACTTATAAATAAGCTCCACGAATTTTTTTTTAAATCTCGTGGGAGAAGAAAATATTATAGTTTTAAATTTTTTAAATCAAATTATAATAGTTCAAATTTATTGATATATTTTTATATAAAATTAAAATAATAATTAAATAAAATCATAACCATTGAAATTTTGGTATAATGATAATGAGAGAAAAAGTAAGGAAATGGAGAATAAAGGAAAAGGAGAGGCCTCTCTCCCGATTGATTACGCCAGTACAAACTTGGCTAAACAAGCCTAATCTATTTATATAAATAAGCTTGATTATAAGTTTAAGACGAGCTTTTTTTGTTAAACAAGCTAGGCCAAAATTTAAACAGGTCAAGTTGCAGGCTTTTGCAAGTCTATTTATGTATTTTAATATTTTAGTAAAATTTAATTTAATTATAATACATTATATATAGATTTATTTATATTTATATAAGGAAAGAAATATAATATAAAAATATAAATAAGCAGGTTTGATAGGCCTACAAGTCAGGCTTTGAGTAAATAGACCTAGCATATTTATTTAAATAGGCTTGATTGTAAGCTTATGTTATATTTAGCCTTTTTATTAAATAGGTTAGGTCAGGCTAAGCCCCAATCATGTATGACTCACAATAAAGAAAAAAATACAAAATAATGGCAGACAAGTTCTCTAGCAAGTCTAGTAAAAAGTTTTCAATGAATTGATTGAGTTGGATTTTATTTTTTTCTCTGAAACAACAAAATTTTGAATTAAACTAATAATAATAATAGTAATAATAATAATAATAATAATAATAATTTGTCACAAATTGTGGGTATTTTGATCATTTGACGTACACATTCTTATTGCCAAAAAAATTGGATTGTGAGAGGATCCGGTTCCTTAAAAGGGTTGTCAAATTTTGGTCAAAGTGTATTTTAGTACTTTTGCATGTGTCAGAAATTATATTTAGGTCCTTTGGAGCTTCATGGTATTTTAGCAAATTCATGGGATTTACCTGTAACTAAGTTTCTTATTTGAAGCCTATTCATAATTTTTCCCAATTAATGCAGCCTATGTATGTGGAGAAGCCAAGGAAGAAGGTGGAGAAATTATAAAAGAAGAGCCACTTGAGATGGGTCAGAGCTTGAACAAAAGGGCAACAAAATTGGATGTTGATGAGGAGAAGACTTTGATGGAGAAAAAATTACAAGAACTCCAAGCAAAGAATGGTGATGAAAATGCAATCGACTTTGCAATGAAACATTATGGAACTGAAAGGTTTTTTTGTCCTACATGATCATAAATAATATATAATTTTATGGGCTTCATATCCATATTTTTTTTAAGAAAAATCACATTCGAGAACTTTCAAAAAATATTGTTTATAGTTAAAGATCTTGAAACTTTGAAATTAAAAAAAAAAGACTATATAGTCCTTAACAGGAATTAAAATTTGACATGAGTTAATTTTTTTCGTACTAATATTTCTTTTTTAAATACTTACCTTTAGCATTTTCAATACTCAATTTTTTAATTTTTCAGTAGTCTTTTAAATATTTTCAATGCTCATCTTTCATGTTTTCAGTGTTGAAAAATACTTATATATAATTCTTTTCAATGTAACATTAAAATTATGAAAGATGAGTATTAAAAACATCTCAAGTGACTATTAAAGGAAATAAGAATCTGAGTACTAAAAAATGCTAAAGTTAAATTTTTAAAATGTAAAAGATAAGTGTTGAAAATATGAAAGATGAGTAAGTACTTAAAAATTCAATCAAAAATATTAATTTCAACTAAAGACCATGGCTCCCAAGAAATTTCATAATTTTACCATCTTCAAAAATACTATTTTTTTTCTTTTTTTTAAATATGCATATAGTAATATACACACACACAAACCCACGAATCAAATTGATTAATTAATTTGTTGATGGCATTTGAAAACAGAGCAAAGTTTTATGGATGGCCAAATACATATGTATTTACGAAGGCAATGGGAGAGATGTTTCTTTCACATCTCAAAGGCAACATTCCCTTGATCATCGTACGTCCCACTATGGTGACCAGCACATTTAAGGAACCATTTCCAGGTTGGATCGAAGGTCTTAGGTATATTTTTAATTCATTGTTTGCAAATGTTCTTTCTCTATATATTTATTTATTTATTTATATAACCAATTAAGTAATCCATGCCTATATTATTTCATTTAGTGTAATATAAGAAAGATTATATATACTCGTTCCAGTCCTTGGTATAAGATATTTTTTAGAAGTTTTTTTATAGTGCTAAATAGTATAACACTTTGCAAAAAGGGAGAATGAACATTAAAACCTTAAAACAATGAATTTATAACAGTTAAATACATGATAAAATTATTTAAAAAAATTAGTTATAAATATTAATTCAAATAGTTATAAATTTAAGAGTTTTAACTATAAATAAAATATTTAAATTTAAATATAACTCTTAATTTATAATTGAAATTATTGTTTGCAATTGTTTGCATCAATATTTGCAACTTATTTTAAAAAAAATTTTGTCAGGAAATTAATTGTCATATATTTTCAATTCTTTAACTTTATTGTCATTTTCCCTTGCAAAAACTCAATTGTATTAAATTCTTCTTTTTTTTCTACAAATTTCATTATTAATTGTGTTATATAAAAGAAAAAAAATAAAATTTCATCTAAATACATGAGAATTTGAATTTAAATTTGGATTTGAAACAAATCTTTTATTTGGATATATAGAAATCTATGGATTTAGATTTGATTGATCCAAATCCAAATGTTTTATTACAATTTATTTGTATTTTTAATTTTTTTTAGACTCTAGTCATTTAAAATTTTAATTATTCTAATCATATTATCTTCTTCATATATTCACTATCAACCTCTCTATTACTCTTGCACTTCACCTCATCTCCCATTCTTATCTCTCACCAAATAAAGGTAAGCTCGCCAATCCCAATATTCTATTTTTACTTTGAATCTTAGCTTGTATGAGTATCTTTTGTTCTACCTTTAAAATTTTTACACTATTCAATAAAAATTTTAAATACATGAATCTTAGAATATGTGATTTTTAATATAAAATTTTAATTTAAATCCATCAAGTCAAATGCTATCTAAAGTAATTAATTAAGAAAAGTTGATTAACACTCTTAGTCATACAAACTACTTTTAACTACTTTTCTTAATCTTTATGAAGTAGTTAAAAATATCTTATCATTATATTAAGAACAAGGGAGACCATTTGAAACATGTTTTTATACAAATGGCATATTATTTTATGGTTGCAGAACAGTGGACAGTGTAATCAATGGCTATGGTAAGGGAATTGTGACAAGCTTTCTTGGTCATCCCAATACAATATTAGATGTGGTAAGTTATGATGATAATTTTATTTTTATTATTATTATTATTATTATGGTAATTAAATTTATGAAAATTTAGCTAAACTAGCTATCAAATACATGTAATTGTCAGTACATGCTTTTTACATTACATGAAGCATAAGGTGAGTTATATATACTATTAATTAATGGCTGATATAATTAATTAGGCTTCTATATTTAATTAATGATAATGAAACTTTTAGCACTTCAAGTTTACTCAATTATTAATTTAGTCTCTTAAATTTAATTTTTATCAATTTAATTTCTTAAATTTATCTCAATTATAGATTTGGGCCTCACTGTAAAGAGGACGTAGGATTGTTAAGATTTACTAACATGGATAAAAGAATATTGATAATGGACATGTAAATTAATGAAAAAATATAATTATTTAAGTAGGAAAAAACATACTAAAAAATTTTTAAAACTAAAGCATAAGGAGTTATATTGATAAAGATTAAACTAATTTGAATGTTAATTTTCCCTCATTTAGCTACATATAATAGCAGTGAAGCCACATACATGTGAACAGGAGCAAATACACCCCTCACATGGGAAAAATTACATGTATAGTATGAAAAAATTATAACATTGCACCCTATATTTTTAGTATTTTAAACTCTCTAAACTCAATAAAAAATATCTGGGGGTCCAAACATAAACTTGATATCAACTTTCTCAACATATTTTTGGGAAAAAATTTCAATATATTTTGCCCAAATAAAAATATATATAATTTTACTTATGTTATTATATTTTTTCCCAAATGTAATTAATTTTAAAAAAATTAGAATATTATGTTTTTAATTATTAATTTTTAAATTATATTTTCCTGCATTTTCTAACTCAAGATCCTAGCTCCACACATGGTGTGTGTGAAATTATCAATACAGTTTACGTATTAGATTAATTTGAAAGTCAGTTTATGTTTTTAAAATTCAAATAACTAACATGATAGTTTAAGAAAACATAAGGGACCAATCAATAAAAAATTAAACTTGAAAGACAAAATCAGTAATTTGAGGAAAATTTAAAATACTAAAAGTTTTGTTATCTCAGTTAATTAATGATATAGATTGCTATAAATTTTAGATTTTAAATTGATGATGTAGATACCAGTGGACATGGTGGTAAATTGCATGGTGGCAGCAATGGTGACTCATTCAAATCAAGTTCAAGAGACTAATTTCATCCACCACATTGGCTCTTCATTCAGAAATCCCCTCAAAATTTCTCATATTAGCGATATATTGTATCTTTACTTCACTAAAAACCCATTCACCACCAGAAATGGAAAGCAAGTTTCAGTTTCCTGCAGGTTAACATGGTTTACAAGTATGACTAGCTTCCAAACACATGTGATGATCCGATATGTGTTCCCGTTAGAGGTATGTCGTGTTATATTAAAATATTTTTAATGAAATTAGAGAAAATTAATTATTTAACTTTTATAATTTTAACTCAATTAAAATTTAGTGTCTAAACTTTAACTTGATATAATTTAGTCCCTATAGTTTCAATTATTTAAAATATTGATCTCTATGTTTAGAAAATAAAATTATAATAACTAAAGTTATTTCTTGGAATTCAGGAACTATTGTCATAAACTATTAAAATTATAAGGACTCAATTGAACTAAATTAAACTTGTAGGAACTAACTGATTAATTTTTCTTTTAAATTAATAGGCGGTTTTTGGTAATTAGAGTCAACTATATGGTAAAAGCTATATGAAAAAAGTCCATTTATCATAATTTGATTGACAATTATATTTTAAGGATATAAGTGTTTTTATTTTTGTATCTAATTCGTGTTTTTTTTTCCTCAATTGGATCTACGTTGGAAAGGTATTAAATTTGGTGAGCAAATTGTTTTGTATTAGCCGCCCAAGATCATTACAGTAGCAGCCGTAGAAAACTCGAGAGTAACACCAATGGCTGCATTTTACGAGCCATACGTATTCTTTAAGGCAGTGTACGTTTTTTAATAATTTTTTTTCTTTTTTCCCGTTACAAATAATAGGTTTTTTCGAAATACTATTAGTCTAATTAATTTGGGAATACTGCTTTATATAACAGCTTCGATGACAGAAACACAGAAAAATTACGAATGACAACAAAGATGGAGAATTATGAATTTGACTTTGACTTTGATCCCAAGAGCATTGATTGGATAGACTATATGATGAAGGTTCACTTGCCTGGTCTCACCAAGTTTGTAATGAAATAATCTCCCAATTATAATCCAAATCTTGGGAAGAATATTAAATAAGAGCAATATATATCCTCAAGCAAGTTGTAGCTTACCAGCTAAAAGAGACATATGAATTAGGATACATTCAGTATGCGAAGAATAAAGGACTGGGTACCAATAAAAGTTGATCTAATTGATAAGAACTTGATTCATAATACACAAAGTCCTGGATTCAAATTCCGCTGCCAATGTAAAAAATTATGTACCTATGATCTGTAAATACTATAAAAGTTCATTGATTCTAGAAATATATCCTTATCCTGTTAAGTTTCAAGGGTCCAACTCACCAAAACTGTCTCTTGACAGGGTTTTTCTCCCAGTATTTTCCTCTTTGGTCTCTTTCATACATTCACATGAAAAAGTGGGTTTGAAAAATGACACAAAAGTTTGGGGTGGGGGGAGGGGTTGCTGATGTCAGGAGTGAAGCACTCATATATATATATATATATATATATCGTGTTCCAACTTCCAACAGAGAGACGGGGTCAAGGGTTTCGATCCATCCCATTGGGGCATGTGTGTAGTTGCTTCCATAAGAAAGAAGAAAAGAGAAGGGAAAGTGAGTTCCACTACATTATTCGAGGTCCAACGCTTAAATATACATATATTAACCATGTCTTCTAAAATTGACAAATATTTTGTTTTCATTTGCTCTGTTGTGTTTTCAAAACAAAAATATCAACATAAAAAATAAAATAAATCTTAGAAGCTTAAATATGATGGAAAAATTATTAAAACAACTTTTTAAGAACAAATAGTTTCAGCTATATGGCTGTGATTTTTTTTTTTTTTTTGCCAGAAAAATTCAGCAGTATTTTTTAGACCTGAAACAAATGAAAGTGGGCAAAGTGGCAAACCAATGAGCTAAGTTCTTTGCACCACAAGGCACCAACATTTCAGCCAGAAGGAAATGAAAGTGCATCTAAATATCAGATGATGCATCTTTCTTTAATCTCCATATGCCATTTTGTATCCTGTTAAAATTTTCTCCCTCTTTTAATCAATATTTGCCGTCCAACATTTCATAATCACAGGAGTAGATCGTCAGAAGCCAAGATATACAAGTGAAGGTTAGCAAGACAAAAACAATAGTCTTAAATATATGTGAAACTAAAGAGTTAAAATGAGAGTCACATGAAACTAACTTAAGGGATAAGAGTAGTGTGAGATCTTGATGAATGTTTCAGGGTACAAACTAGAGGTGATAATATGGTTGCGCCCATGGGCCCGACTTGCCAAAACATCACAAGTTGGGTTAGCAAAATGGGAGCTCATTTAGATGTTGCTCGTTTTCCCAACTCTTACTTCAAGTTCAAACCATCTTGATATAATGTGTGTTTGGATGCTTGGATCAATGTTAATTAACATATTTAAACAATAATGCATTGCTAGATAACCTCAACATCTTTGAAGTCAAAAGAAAGTATGAAGTCGCCTAATCATGCCCCTTGCCTAGTAGCTTAATCAAATATCTGCTTGCTATGATAACAGTTTGTTTGTTTGTCCTTTTTTTTTGTGAAAAAAATTACCAGTGCATAGAAGGTTTAGAAAATCACATAAAGTTCTTATAATTCCAAAACAGCACGAGCTGTAAAAAAGGATAAATAATGCAGAAGTGTTTTGTAATTGAAGTAACTTTGTGGGTACCCGGTATACCCTGGCCGGGAGAAATGAACAATCGGTCTCAAATCGCTGAATCCAAGAAACTTGAAGGCAACATATTTCCATCAAGCTTATAAGATATTTTACTTTCTACTTTTTGTACAATGATGAAGAAAATTTCTGACATATAGGAATAAATTTTACAAGTGATGACTTCTAAACTGAAGAATCAGGGTAAAAAAACTAGAAGGCCCATTTAACAATAATTAATACACCAATATAGAATACAAAATTATAGTAAGTTGTGTTGTTCATAAGGTAAGAACAATGCAACTTATTTTTCAATTTCGCGTGATGTACAATAGGCCAGCTAGTCCAGATTATTGACATGAATATTAAAAAATTATCAATTGTGAACAAATCAACAGCCTAGAGACAAACTCCAGCGACAGAGCTGCAAAGAACAATGAACAATGAAGTTGCAGACAAGTGTTTTAATGGAAGCACACTCCTTGCACCTTAGATAACTGCCAGAGCTGATAAAAAATCGAATGAATGTTTTAGGTGTGAAATTCATTGGCAAACTCACCTCGGTGCTGCCAGTTCTTTGGGCCAATTGTAGATGCAAGGAATGTCTGTATAAATTGCTGCTTTTAAGGACACAGGTAGAGGCTTAGGATGCATTCTGCTTGCCACTGTCTTTTGGTTCTTCCAAAACAAATTCAGCATACAAATCCTTCAGACCAATCATAACTGTAGTAATCAATGGCCCCATAATTGTCCCCTGAAAAACAGCAGACTCGTAAGTCAATCCAACAATTCCATGAGACATTATGAACATGAAATCAAACAAAAGCACAACCAAAGTTCTTTTATACTTTTACTTTATATTCTGATGACACGGGAAGTTCAATTATGAGGTACTGATCATATAAGGTACCTCAGCAATTCTTTGGATTTGTCCTAGTTTCTGGAAAGAAAATTATCCAGCTAACTGTTACTTGAGAATTAAATGATCCTACATGCCTTGTCAAATCTTTAATATAGGTACATTATACAACAACAAAAAGAAGCCTTTTCCCACTTGATAGGGTCGGCTATATGGATTGCACGATATCATTATACTCTATCATCAACCATGCTCTTAGGAATATTGTTAACTAAAAAGTAATGTTCTCTTTCATCATTCTCTAGCTCTCTTTACAGACTCAAGATTATTCGTTCCATAAGTCACAGAAAAATTCTTTTTTTTTTTATCAGGCTAATGTAGGCATGCATAGGACACTTTATTACTAAGACCTACTGCATTTCATATGTTCCAAAATAAATAAGCGGTTTCATGATTGAAATAGATTGACTTTTCAATTTTGATCCTGAAAATTGTAGCCCATTCAATTTATTTTCTCAGTAAATTTTACCATCATTTTCGTCCCTTTGGAATAGTAAATTGGAAAGTTATTTTATGTGACTCTAACAGATGGAGGGACAAAAATTATTGGGGGGAAATATAACGAGATTGAATTGAAAGGGTTACATTTTGAGGGACCAAAGCGAGATGTTAGTCATCTTTCAAGATTAAATAAAGAGAATAGTAATTTACCTCTAAAGCAGATGGAAATAGAGTCATTCCTCCAATGATGCTAAGCCCAGTAAGATATGGACTATGCCCTGGTATATCTTCTAGGATTTCAGATGCACCATAGTCCATGAGGAAAAGGTGAACAGCAGACAAAATAATGGCCTCTATATATCTTCCTTCTAGCAATAGTTGCATAGCTGCTGGAATTGTTGCCAGCCAAGATGGGAATATTGGTAGCAGAGAACATGTGAAGGCAAGAATGGTTGACGTGTACAAGAAATGAATTCTGCATAGCCTAAATAAAAGCCAAGTGAGACATCCGTGAAAAAATGCAATCTCAGCAGTAGCTAAAAGGACTCCTGAAATGGCCTTATCCAGAACTTCAACACATCTGTCCCTAGCTGAGCTTGAAATAGGAAACATGTGCATAATTTGTTGTGTCACCCCACCTGACTCTGATGTCATGAGATAGTACAAAACCCAGAAGAATACCATTAACTGAGACACAAAATTGAAAACCTCTGCAGCTCCAGAAATTATGGAATGGACAATGGAGAACATGAATTTCGCACCACTTCCAAGCACAGTTTTACTGCTAGCAAGCACACGTTGAGATACCTCCATTCCCTTGACAGCCAATGCTTTTGCCTTCTCAACTAAGTCCTCCCTTGTGATTATGAGTTCTCTCAAAAGGGTATCCAGCTCTGTGTAAATCATGCTCCATTCTCGATTTTTAACCCGAGTCCTCAATCTCAGAAACCTATCTGTGTATGCTATTGCTGAGCGTTTCTCTGGAGCTGTTAAAGTTATTATTGAAGAGTTAGCTGAATTGCTTATAGCAAAGTACTTAATACCAGTCACGACCTCAGTCATATTGTATTGCATTGCCAATACATCTATCTGATGAGAAACTGTCTCATAATACTTAGAAGTGTACCTATCCACTAATCCAGGAAAATCGTTGTCATCCATCCACTTCTTGACCCCAATTCTCTCCGTAAGATTGCTCTCCTCTACATGTAGTTTCAGTGAAATTACTGCCTCTTTTCCTTCGACCCCAATCTTGTACGAGAAGAATATCACACCAGCCAGAAACCCAATTATCATACCAACAATCAACCCAATTGCTACAATGGTTTTCAATCTTTTCAGTACTCCTCGCATGAAAAAGGCAGTATGCCAGATGCCACTGCTCCTAAAGGAAGATGATGTTGACATAATCGAATCTACATTTTTAGAGCTAAACAAGAAGCCAAATCCAAGAAGACAAAGAGAAGCAAAACCACCAAGCCCTTCATATACAACAACAAATATGCCAAAAGACACAAGCAAACGAAGTAAATTAGAAAATCCACTACGGTTCCTCCTCGGGTTCTGAGATTCTTTTGATTTTCTGAGAAGAACTCGCAAAGAAGCTTCGCGAATTTCAACCAGAGTACCAATGAAAACTCTAAATATGGCAAAAGGAATCGCTAGTACAGTCTCTGTGAGGCCTAATTTCAAGGGCTCCGACCAGAACGAAACAAGGGTCTGCTGGATACCCCTAAGAGGTATGGAACAGAGCACAGCCCACTGAAGGGGCCTGACATATCCTTCCAAGAGCTTGTAAGCAGCGTAAACCACAAAAATGGCGAAGGCAATTCCAGCATGAGCCATGGCGATGTAGAGAGCAAGGCGTACCTGGGAATCACCGGAGAGGGTGGATTTCTTGACCGGGTCAACGGCAGTCGGCGGCCAATCGGATTTTGGAGTAGACAACGGTTCTCTGATAGAAGCGGACCGGAACATGTCCTGCCATGCCGGAGAATCGGAGTTGGGGTCTGGATACGGTACAAGCTCCATTTTTGAAGATACAAGGAGAAAAATTGAAGATTGAAGAGCGGTGGCCACAGGCAGAACGAGAGTCAGAGAAGGAAGAAGAAATGGATAACATTCTGGTGAGAGAATTGGTTGACTATAATAAAACGATGACAACGATGACGAAGGTCAATGATTTTCTTTTCTTTCTTTTTTTTTTTTTTTGGTGTTCTTGTTTTCGTGGGGAACTGTGAAACTGTAAGACGATGACGCATTCAACAATTCAGGTACACGAAAACGAGGGGTCACTTTCAGAATCGATCTTAAGTTCCGCGCTCCATCACAAGGTCGCTTTTCATGGGGGAAGCAATTTGATCGTCTATTATATTAAAAGGAATAAATTTGTTGTTTTTTAATATAAATTATTCTGACTTTTTTATTTTTTAAAATATGTAATTTAAAAAAAAGAGGAAAATGCTGCATTACATTTAGTTTCACTTTAAATATTAAGTGTGCGTAAAGATAATATAATAGAAAAATAAAAAATAAAATGAAACTGAAATATATTTTTTAAAAATATATATTCCCTCCATTAAAAAATATAAGGCATTTTTAATTGAATCTCATCTCTTAATAAAGTAGTTACTTATTTTTCAACTAATCATATCTTTTCATATTTATCCCTATTAAATACTCTATAATAAATATAAAGTCATTATTAATAAGTCACTTTTAAAAAAATAATAATAATTACACCTCAAAAAATTAAAAATATTTTATATTTTTTAATATTTAATTTCTCAAAAAATACTTCACAGTTTGTACGAAGGGAGTAAAAGAACTCTATAATTATAAGTATATTGGTTTATTTATTTATTTATGTTCACCCATCCTTGTTTTAACTTTTTTTTTTTTTTAGTGACGTAAATGTTTTTGTTCCGTTATAATTTATAAGTGATTTCAAACATATGCAAGGACCACAATTTGGTTTGGCAACGAGGACAATTCCAGTTTCGGAGGTGGCACTTGTAAGTCGTTTAAGTGTTCTTCTTTTCTGCACTTTCCTTTTCATCTCTCAGCATCAATCCAAACATCGATCTAAATAACAAATCAAATCCAAGCAAGTCATTTTCACAACCAGCTCTAGACACAATTGGGCTCTGTAAATAGTAACTGGCTTTATCTACACTTGTAAGCCAATTTTTGTCTGGGCCACGTGCATGTTAAACCAAATTTGTCAAACATATTATGATTATCCGAAGCCTACCTGTAACATCCCATTTTCTAGGATTTTAGTGCTATTAGGATGAATTTTCATGGTAATTGGATTTGTCTAATAATTAGTAGAGTAAAGAAAATTTACTCAAAAAGAAGTTTTATATATTTAGAAGAGGAAAGACTTATAGGATTACATTAGACTAAATAAAAACATTTAAAATAGTATTTCAATTTACCATGTAATTATAATTAATTAACTGTGAATACTATGTAAATAAATAAAAATATTTTTATAAAATGTGAAATATATATTAAATAAAAAGATAAGAAGCAGGAAAACATTAAATTACATATATATTAAATAAGTTTTAATTTTAATATTATATATAGATAAGAAATAAAAAAAATTAATCTTTTAATCCTTTAACTTTTAACTCATTTATAACTCAGTTCCTCAACTATAACTCGCTGCGACTCAATTCCTCAACTTTTGATTTACCTATAATTCGGTCCTTATTTTTTATTTTTTTTTTAAAAAAATTTTTATCAAATAAGAGGGATAAAAAAATATTCATATATTATTCTAAAACACCCTCCTCTTGCTCATTGATGTAAGATATAAGGTAACATGAAAAAAAATAACAAAAGTTCATAAATTAATTTTGTAAGTGATTTAAAAGTTAAAAGACTAAGTTATAGGCGAGTTATAGTTGAGGGATTGAGTTACAGTGAGTTATAATTAAAGAATTGAGTTATAAGTGAATTAAAAATTGAAAGAGTAAAAGATCAGTTCTTTCAAAAAAAAAATAACAAACCAATAGTGGGCCCACTGTTGGCGACCTTGCCTTGTGCTGTGCGAGGAGAATTCCGGCTCCTTTCTCCTGCGGCGCTGAGAATGCAGGTGAGCAAGTGAGAGAGATTGAATTTGAGAGAGGGTTTCATCTGAGTATTGTTGGATCCCGAAAAAATTATTTAGTTAGATTTCAAGGCTTCTAAAAAAGTTGGTAAGTCATTTTGCTTGTCCTCTTTTCTTTTTCTTTTTCTTGATGTTTTTGGGTTTTGGTAAGAGAAAAGAAATTTAGAGTTTGATGAATTTTAAATTTTGAGATGTCCCTAACTGATCATTTAATTATCACAAGAGCTAAGGTTCTTAAATTAAGAGTTTATATGGTTTAGGTTTGCAATAAAAAAAAACTTTGAATTTGAGGACCCTACAATAGTTTTTAATGTTTTGAAAAACTTATGGCAAATGAATAATGATTTATCTATAATCTAATAAGCTAGAAAATTTCTCTAAAATTTAAACTTATTTATAAATAAACTGAATATACGTATTTGGGATAAACTTAAGAGATCGGGTTTGAGTATTTTGGCGAAAAAAATTGAATGTGAGGTTTTTATTAAATTTACATAGGTGAATAATGGACAAAAATTTATAGAAATTAATTTAAGTTAAATGAAAAGGTAGCTTGAAGCGTAAATGGTAGATGTTAGGAACTATTACAGTTAATTTTTCAGATGAAATAAATTATTGAAATTTATTAAAAATTATATTTATCATTATTAATTTTTGCAAACTAGTGTTTGTGTTAATAGTTCTATGGGCCATACATAACACATATTTTAGCTTGGAGAAAAGGTAATAACAGTTTAATTTTTCATGTGTTGGAAGCTATTGATTTTTTTGATATTGTACATCTATGTGTAAACTATATTGCGAATGGTTGTGCCCACTCAAGGCATGTTTAGTTGTTTGGATTAGGACTAGAATATGTTACCTCTCACATTTTTAGGTGAGAGTTCTTGTAGAGCACAAGAGAAGGCATCAGAGAGTTGAGTGATGGCTCAATTGTCTTGTATTGCACATGTCCAGCGTACTTTATTTATTGCTATGGCTTAAGGCTGCATATTAAATTTATTATCTTTGTTGGTTTTTAACATTTTCATAAATATCATATTTTGGGTCTTCTAGAATTATTTTAAAAGACTTTTTATTGAATTATAGGCTGAGTCAAAATATTTTTATTAAAGTATTTGTCATCAATTTGATTTTGATATTAATTTTGAAAATGGTTTGTAGGCTTGAAAGCCTCACTTGTCTTATTAAGATCCCATTATTTGTTAACTTGGCAAGATTTGTTTAAGATAAGATATTTCTTGTCTATCAAATTGAAGGTGTTGCAATACCCTTAAAAAAAAACTCCAATTGATATGGGTTAGGCTTTCACTTCCCCCTTATCTCTCTTAAACAAGCTACCTCATTTCTTTTATAAGTGCATAAAATTTGATTTGATGGATTCATTTCTCTCTCTTGAACTCTTCCATCATCTCTTCTCTTTCATTAGCTCATTTCTATTCTGTTCTGTTTACCATTTATATTCTTTATTTCCTCATCTCATTATATCTCATTAAACAAGAATTGATTGAAGTTGTCACTTTCGTTTTATTGAAGGTAGATAACTAACTATTATAGCGATGATATTCTCTACCAGCTCTTAGGGTTTGCCTAATCACTCCTTCCATTTTACTCACTACTACAGCTACTTGATTTCTTTTGCATCCCAATCAGTAATCCTAACCAAACTTCCACATTTAAAATTTATCTTCCATTGACATTTGTTATCCTCCTTAGGACTTTTCTTACTCAAGGTGTTGAATCCGAATAGCCAAAAAAAATGGGGGGCATTAGGACGACATGCATGTTGGTGATTATTTTTTGTTCCCCTTTAATGTTCAAGAGGTCAATCATTGAATCACCCTCAAGTTTATGAGATAATACGTTTTGTCAAGTGATTTTTGTTGCTAATGTTATGCGAGCTCTTGTAACATGTGCAATGAATTGAATTATTATTGGAATATCTATATAATATTTATGGATTTGCATTAATTAATAAACCTAAAACATATTAGTCTTTTATAATCTTGTATGGACTGTAATAGGTGGACCATACAAGTAAACCCAATAGATAGAGACTTAACTTATAAACCTATAGCAATTAGGTATTATCTATCTCTTAACTAACCGAGTCAAAGATAATGAGAGATTATTTAATTAATTTAATTATTAAGGCAGTTACTAGTATGATTTATATAATGCAATTAGTCAATAACTAATATACATGTCCATTTTCATTCTCTCCATTATCTTTGCACTCCTTGAAAAACTATGGAGGCCAATAAGTTGTGAGTCTGCCTACATTTGAGGTAATCAAGGAGTCATAAGCCATGGATTATTTAGATATGCATGTTAACTTATCATTTTACTTAAGTAATATATATTGAGATGCAAATATCAACACATGGTATCACGGCATATTCTGAAGCTTGTTCATTATTACAACAAGCTGAGATCATACAGGATTAAATTTAGTGAGAGTACTTGGTTTATTATGTCCTTCAGTCGTTATTGCTAGAGTATGCGTTCTTGAAGACTTTTTATAATTCACAAGAAGTTCAATGGTCTGTTAACCAAATGATCTCTATAGTCACTGAAGAAGAAGAAGCCATAAAGAAGAAATTCTCCCACTCAATGAATTACGTTTCTCATGGCTTTAGTAGCAAGTCTAGAGGGTCACAAGAAAAGACAAGAAAGAAGCTTGAGGCCCCAAAGAGTGGTAATTCAAATTTTAATAAGAATGGTGAGAAGAATGAGAAACCAAAAAGAAAATCCTTTTAAGGGTTGTACAATTGTTGTAAGAAACCTGGTCATATCAAAGCTAATTGCTTCTGCTGAAGAACAAACTGAAAAACTATCAAAGCTAAATTTGCTTGAATAAATTGAATAATTATCAATAATCAATAAGGACATAAATTTGCATTGGCCACAGAACCTTGGAGATGTATGAATAAAGTGCATTTAAAAAGCATCTCCTAGGCACTTGGATTTGGAATTGTTGCTTATCTTCAGTATTATGAATCAATTTTGGTGCTTGGCTCATAATTATACTGCTCTTGCATTTCCTCCTATAATAGAGGAAGAATATTTATATGGAGAGAGCTTTTTATAATTAAGTGGATATTCTTGAATGCATTAAGAG